TGAAGTCACACAGCTAGTATGCAGCAGAGCTGGGATTCTAACAAAAACAGTATGGCCCCTGGTTCTGCTCTGCTAACTAGTGTGCTCTATTGCCTGCTTGGTGGGAGATATTAGCATCATTATCCTCCAGGACATTCTACCAAAGTCCCTTTCTCTCTTCCATGCCTTGTCTAGCTTGCTGCTCAGGTTGTGCTGTTTATATCTCCTTGGGCCCCTCCTCTGGCTCCTCTCCTGTTTTTCAATGGATTTCTTTCTAGCTTACTTATTTCAAGAATGTCCTTCAGCCTTTTGGCAACACTGAGCTCCGCCAGGCTCATTCACATTTGAACCTGAACTACAAGCTAAGAAGCTTGAGAATTATGGGAAATGAATGCAAGCCCTATGGAGAGAGGACGTAGGTGGGGAGAGAAGCGCTGTTGGAGGAAGTGAGTGAAGACAACCCAGACAGTGGTAAATTATTTCAATGAAAGGAGAGGTAGCCCTGCCAGGAGGTCAGCTGAGTCAGGAGAACACAGGGCAAATCAAAACCCGAGGAACACAGATTTGCTGTAGGGCAGCAAAGGCCACCAGTCTAAGGGCAGAGTTGCTTCTCTATGGCAGCACCTCCAGACCAGGAAGGCTTCATTCTCCTTTATAATTCCTGAAATCCCTGGCCAAAAAGAGAGTGAAAACATCTCCCAGCAAACAACGGCAACTGGGGAGAGGAAGAGCCCTTAAGAGCCTAAGATGCACTTTTTCTCACTTTCAAGGAACTAAGCACCAGTGAAGAAATCCCGGGAAGAAGGCAGAGTTGGGCTGGGATCTAAGATCATTATAAAACAGCAAATTCAGTTGTGGAAAAAGAATTTTTGAATGAAGAGGTGTTCACTGCTTGAGGTATGAGGACAGATTTTCAAATCCAATTCTGTGTACTCATATAAAATACAACGTCTGCGATTTCAGAGACCTCTCACTGGGAGGTCTAGCAGATAGGAGGGGACTATGGAAAATAAGCGTCAATTGATCACTTAGTATTGTTATTGGTTTCTAAATCTTTTAAAAATTTTTCTAATCTATCAAAAAGAACCATACAAATAACACCGGGGTTCACCAACTGTTAACATCTTACCACATCCGTTATCCTTCCCTCTCTCTGTATATACACACGCACAATTTCCCCTGTCAAACCATCCAAAAATAGGTGGCAGACATGAAACTTATTTCCACACTCATCTCCTAAAATCAAGAACATTCTCCAATCAACCGCATCACTGCTCTCATTCAAATACTAACCCAATAACATCATCCAAATTTCAGTCCATTCTTAAATTTCCCCCCAAACCCTTAAATGTTATTTATAGCTGTTTCCCCTACCCTTGTTCCAAGTTCTAATAAAGGCTCATGAATTGTATTAAAAATCTGGCAGGGCGGGGGGTTCAGGGCCCGGGCACGGTGGCTCATGCCTGTAATCCCAGCACTTTGGGAGGGCGAGGTGGTCAGATCACAAGGACAGGAGATGGAGAGCAGTCTGGCCAACATAGGAAACCCCATCTCCACTAAAAAATACAAAAAATTAGCCGGACACTGTGGCATGCGCCAGTAGTCCCAGCTACTTGGGAAGCTGAGGCAGTGGAACTGCTTGAACTCAGGAGGCGGAGGTTGCAATGAGCAGAAATCATGCCACTGCACTGCAGCCTGATGACATAACAAGACTCCGTCTCAAAAAAAAAAAAAAATTTTTTTTTGGTCTCTCCTGATCAAGAACAGTAGTCCCACACTGTGGTTGGCAGAATAACAGACCTCCAAAGATGTCTGTATCCTTCTCCACAGAATCTGTGAAGGTGAGACCTTACACGACTACGGGGACATTGCAGATATGATTTAGTTAAGGATCACGAGATGAGGAGATTATCTTGGATTATCCAGGTGGGCCTAATGTAATCACAAGGTTCCGTTCAAAAGGGATGCTGGAGAGTCAGAGTCACAGGAGATGTGCCCATGGAAGCAGAGATTAATGAGTCAAGGATCCCAGAAAGCCTGAACAAAACTAAAGAATGATTTTCCCCCAGACCATGCAGAATTGCAGCCCAAATACCTTGATTTTAGTCTAGTGAGACTTTTGACCTACAGAACTGTAAGGTAATACATTGGTATTGCTCAGCCATGAAATTTGTATGAACTTGTTACAGCAGCAATTGAAGACTAATACACCAGTCTCCTTTATTTTTCATGACTCTGAATCTTTTCAGGTGTCCAAGACAATTGTCTTACAGAACTTTTCACTGTGTCTCTTTCCTCTCATTAAATATTTTCATCAAAAACCCCACATGGGTGATGACGTGTACCTGCCGTCAAGAGGAACATAAGGTCAGACTGTTCTACTCCTGGTGATGCTGAACTTGGCCCATGGATCAGGTGGTAGCTCCCCAACCTCCCCACCGTAAGGCACATCCCCCTTCAGAGTTAATAAAGACACCACAGGATAAAACTTTGAGAACGTGTGATTATCCTGCTCCTCAACAGCTTTTCCCCCAGTGATGTTAGCAACCACCAACCATTCATTGACTCATGAACCAATTGCTTCATTGTGGATTACAAAATGGTGACCTTTAAATTCTTTCTTTCCTTTCTCACTGATTGGCTGTTACTTGGCTATAAAAAAAAATTGAGAGTTTGTTCCTTTTCCTTTTATTTTCATGAGTATCTTCATGGAGTTTTGTGATTCAATGTAGAGGCTGTGGTCTTTTTAGTTTCTCCCACCTAGGTAAGTCCTCTGCCTCCCTCGTTATTACTTAATAACGCTCAAATTGTCCCCATATTGGCCATTTTGAATGTATGCACTGTAGCATGGGGTAGGACTCGCCTAGGGTGGCCTATTGGCTGTCCCAGGCACCAGCTGCAAGATCATGGATAAGACGTAACCATTACATTCCTAAGATAATGAAGGTTAATACATGACACCCTTCAGTAAATACAAGTGAAGAGACACATCACTGGTAATACGGTATGAACATATCTGCGGGAATACTCTGCATGTCTTATCCTAGCTCTAGATTTCATGCAAGTAATATTTACTCAGACAAAGCACACTGAGAAAGGTGTTCCAACCAGAGGAAATGGTATGAACAAAAGTAACATCATGGGGGCAGCGGCAGTTTGGTGTTTACCAGGCTTCTAAGTAGGAGTAGACAGAGGCAGAGTCGGATGAGAAAGGAAAGAAAGGTGTGGACCAGGTCATGAATGACCTTGCATCCCGCATTCACTGACTTCCGCGACATTATGAAGGGAAGTGGGTAAATGGATTTATCCATCTGAATGGCATAAGATGACTCCGTGTACCAGTCATCTCTATATACTATTTAGCTTGTCCAGGGACCCAAAGGACATGTCCCGGGGAGTGAGGGGTTAGCCAGGTTTATAGTAAGTTCTCTACAGAGGGCAGCACCATTTTCCAAATTTGGTCATTGAGTTTTAGAGACATTAAGCAAGTTGCCTGAGGTCATCCCACCAGTGAACAGGGAAACCAGGACCTGAATCCTAGGTGCCCAGTGTTAAGTCAGCAGAAGATCCAGGCTGACCCCATTTGTGTGAATACAGAGAGGATGACAGAAGAAGATGCTGAGGTTCCTTGGAGATTACTGGAGACCGGCCTTAGCAAGCAGGTGATGTCAGTGAGGCGGGGGATCACTGCCTGGGCCTGGAGTCAGCTGTGCCCGGGTGTGAGTGGTGACTCAGGGACTAAAGCTCCTTGGACCAAATCTGTGGACCTGGGATAATAAGAGCAACCCAACATTTATTGAGGGCTGACTGTACAGATTCACTGTCTCAGTTTTCCTCATCTCTAAATTGGGAATGACAACAAGAATAGTAGTGAGAATAATAAAAGATACGATTTATTGGGCATTTATTGCATAAAAAAATTTCTGTTCTGAGAGATACACACACCTTGGTGTTCCTCATCTGTAGCCTGGGAACAATAATAATAAATCATATGAACCACTTGCTCTTCACTAAATAGAGAGAAGCCTCTGATCTAAATAAGTCACACGTCTCAGGTCCCGTTCTCTAGGGATCGGGAATAGTGAATCATCACAACCGTATGTGAGAGTTGACATTCACTGACTATTCATTGCGCGCCAGGTCCTCTTCTACACACATTAGATAGGACCCAACTTGACTGGTCCCTGGCAACTCTCCAGTGTTGTCTCCCCTCCTGGTCTACCTCATTCCACTCCCACGCCAGCCTCCTCCAGAAGGCTCCTCAAACACAGCGAAGTGCAGCCTCACCTCACGGCCTTGGCATCAGGCATGTCTTCTGCCAGGCACACCGTTCCCCAGACGCCCACAGGGCTCACTCCCCCGCTTCTCCACTCAGATACCACTTTCTAGGTGAGGCCTTCGCTGACTGCGCTGTTTAAAATCCAGGGTTTACAACAGTGCCTGGCACCCAGCAGGCAATCGGCAAATGCCTGCTTAGTCAATACTTGCACAGTCAAGGGCAGCAGCCTGGTGCCGAGCGCTTTTGGAGTGGGGTTCCCAAGGCCGGGCTCCGGAGTGGTGCACACATTTAACAGGTGAGGTGAGTACAGATGCCCTGAGGAGGCCTAGGGGCTGCGACCCCAGACGAGGACCAGCAGGGCAAAAGCCCCGAGGGCACAGTGTTTGGAGTGTTTGAGAAGGGTGGAGAGGCAGCCTTGGCTAGAACCCAATATGTGAGGGGAGCTCAGGTGGGCGGCCAGGTCTCAGAGCCAGCGCGAGTTTCCAGAGATCACCGGAGATGCACAGGCCCCCAGAACCCGCATGGGTTAACACGCACCCTCTAGGCCCTGTTGACAACATAGATGGTTTGGGAACTCGAGATGAGGCCGTGGGGCGGGTCCTGACACCCGCTTACTCTGAGCTCGGGAGCATTTTCCCAGCCTGGGTCCGGCGCCCGAGGCTCGCTAGTGGGCGGGGTCCGCCCGAGGCCCCGCCCCGCCCCGCCCCGCGGAGCAGCACAAACTCCACGGAGAACGTGAGCTCGGTCGGAAACGATCGCCTTTATTTTTGGACCGTCTGGAGGGAAGGTCAGGACTGGGCGGGTCCTGCTAGCCTAGGGGGCCTCAGGGTCAGCCACCGGCGGCTCCGGGTCCTCCACGTCGCGGGCGCCCGGGAGCTCCGTTCCGGCCTGCGGGGGACGGGCGGGGTGAGGCAGCGGCCGAGGTTCCCGAGCTCCCCGCGCCCGCCCGCGCCTGCGCAATGCAGCCACCGCGGTTCCTCTGCCCCCGGGGCTGCCCTGCTCCCTGCAGACACGCTCTCGGGGGCCGCACCCAGGACCCCGCCCGCTCTCTGCTGACTTGGTCCCTGCCCGCCCCGCCCCTTCCCCAGGCTCCTTACCTCTCCCCGGCCGACTCGGACCTCGAGGGCGCTCTGGACCTGCTCCCCGAATATCTCCAGCTCCGCCCTCAGCCTGCGGAGAAGATGCCGAGAACAGAGGAGGAAGCCACCGAGACGCGGAGAGCCGACGACGCCGAGGGAGGCACAGGCCGGGGAGGGGCAGTGGGGGCGGAGCGGTAGACCTGGGCCCGGTCCCCTCCTCCTTGCCCCTGCTCACCTCGCTCACGCCTTCCTTCCCCTCTTACCCGTCCTCCGCCGCCATGGCGCCCTCGACCTCAGACGGCGAGCGCAGCCGCCGCTCCGCCTCCCGCAGCTTGGCGCGCACCAGCCTTCCTGGGGGTGGCCGGGCGGGCGGGCGTCAGGGGCAGGGACCGGACCGAGGCCGGGCACATCCTCCTCCTCCCGCCCACCTCGGGAAGCTCACTCTCCGAGAGCAGCTGCTCCTTGCTCCTCTCCAGGTCACGGATCTCCCGGGCCAGTCGCTGCTCCAGCATCTGCGAGGACAAAGAGGCCTGCCGGTCTGGCTTTCCTCTAGGCTACACGGCCCGCCCCTCTCCCTTTGTGCTTCTCGCTAAGTCTTCAGCTGCATTAGGTCATTCATTCATTCATTCAACTATTTGTTAACTCAATGTGCTGTTTCTGCTGTGGCTGGAGACCCACCCACCTCCCCCTAACTGCTCTCCATGTTTCCAGAAACTTATCAAACTTGAACTCTTCCCACTGTCCTCATCCTCCCCTCCCCAGTCTGCGTTCCTCAAAGGTTTCAGGCACAGTCCAGCCTCAGGGCCTTTGCTTCTGCACCCAGATACCTGCACGGTTTCTTCCCTCACTTCCTTCACCACTGAGCTGAGATGTCACTTGCTTAGAGGACTTTCCACTGATGTTCCACGATCTAGCCACTTAACTTCCTTTGTTGGAGTCTGGGTATGTCCCCACTGTCCCTATCCAGCTCAGGACAGTAAAGACGTGGCCCCTTTGGTCTGCCACCCTCTCTCCCTGCCTCAAATGCTGCCTGGTGCAGCCATTGACAGTAGCTGAATGAAGGAATGACCTGATCGTGGCTTTCTCTGGGCTGCCATTTGCCACTACAAGGTGAACATACTCTAGGTGAGCAGGGGGAAAGCAGGATCACAATGGCCACTGCACCCGTCTAGGCAGGTGATGCTGGTTTTGCAGTGGAGGATGGTGAGATGTAAGCTGATTTCAGATAAAAGCCAAGGGACTGAGTAGGTGGGCAAGAGGAAGCAAGGAATCAAGGACTATCCCGTGGCATTGGGCCTGGGCAGGGGTAAACACTGGGCCAGTCAGTGGGACACTAAAGCCAGGGGAGGAGTGGCTTTGGCTGGAGGCGATAATAACTCACATGGAATTCCCAGAGGTCCTTGTGCTGGCCCATCAGATCCTCCAGCTCTCCTTTGACATCCAACCTGGAGGCCGACACCCAGGAATGAGAGAATGAACACAGGCTAGGCCTTACACCCTGGAGGGAGCTCCTCATGCACAGGCCTTCAGATCCTGTCCATGCTCCCTCTGCTCGGAGCCCCTTCATGGGTTTTATCCTCGAAGTTCTGTTATCCTGTAGCACCTCTTCCAACAAACTCTCCCTGATGCAAGCCCAGCCCCCACTTTCTATACAGTGGCTTGCCAGGCCCCAGGCTTGGGAGTTATCCCACATTCCTCTGTTTGGGACTCTGAAATCTGAAAGGTATGGACAAAACTTTGTTCAATGCACTCTTGCAACATGTGCTTCTTGGGAAGGGAAAGACAACCCTCAGTCAAAGTCACTGAATGACCCATCATTCACTCCAGTAGGAGTGGGAGTTGGGATATCTGCTCACAGCATTCACCTTTCACTTTTCTCCTGTTCAATGAGAACCTTCATGGGCTTCTGTTGAGAACATCACCCTGTCCATCCTGTCCCCCATGGAATGAACGCTGGCTTCCCAAGAAAGCTTTGTGAGGGGTGTGGTAGTTTAGCACCACAGATTCTAACATCCTGGCTTGAAGCCTGATCTGCTACTTCACTGTGACCCTGAGCAAGTTACTTAACTTCTCTGGGTCTCTGTTTCCTCATATGTAAAATAGTGGTAGTGATGGGAGGGTGACATTAGCCTTTAACTCCTATAATTGTCATTGTGAGGATTAGGTACATAAATGCTCATCAGACAGTGTGAGTAGTGTGGTTTGGTATACACACATTAGCTAACATCAGGTTTCCCCATGCAATTAAAGTCATGGTGCACCGGGATGTGAGACCTCTGGTAACAGGAATGTGCTGAGTAAAGGTTCAGAGGATGAAGAGATGGATGAATGTGTGGTTGGATGTACAGTTGATGGGATGTGTGAGTTGCTGGCTGGAGAGACGATAGCTGATTAGAGAAATGATGAGCGGAGGAATAGTGGCTGGAGAGGGAAACAAAGGATTGCTAGAAGAAAGGATTGATGTCTGGATGGCTGAGTGAAGAAATGAATGGCTATGGGAAGAAGAGAGAGAGGATGAATGCATGATTGGATAGATGCAAGATTATTAGGTGGAAGGCTGGAGATAAAATGGCCATCTGGATGGATGATAGAGTTGGGTAGTTGGATAGATGGATGAATGAGTGAGTAGGTGAATGGCTAGATGGGTGGTAGATGAATGAGTGGCAAATGGATGACTGGGGCCTAAAATAAGCAGACAAATAATCAAGTGCATGGGTACTGAAGGAGCTGGACAGCCAGCAGTGAAAGACAGACTAACACCAGTGGATGGAATATTATTTGATGAAGGAATTAGTAACGAATAATTAAATGAGTAAATTAATCTTAACATGACCATTTAATATCAGAGATAACCAAGGAAGTCTTTTGTCTAGCTGCTCTATTTTATAGAAAGAGAAAATGAGTCATGTCCAAGATTCATTTCCATAGCTCTTGCTCCCTCCTTTTTCAGTTGGGGAAATGAGGTGGGGAAGAGCTGAGGCAGGGCCTCTTACCTCTGAGCCTCACTTTCCTTCTCTTGGCAGTGCAGCTGGAGGATCCTCAGTGCCTCTGTGGGGAAGGAATCAAGGAGACCCTTTGAAAGCTCTTGGGGAGTCAGGGTTGGCTAGAGGTAATGGGCCCCACATCATGTCAGGCATTGGAGGGCACTGGAAGACCTGGGTGTTTACTCCAAGTAAGGTAGCAACTCAGGGAGAGATCTGTGCAGAGAGAGAAGCTTCCCCCTGACTTAGGGTTCAGTGGGATTCCTCTGGCTGCTCTGAGGAGTATGGACTTTTGTGGGGTGGATGAGTAGAATAAGGAAGACACAGCAACTGGTAAATACCTCGCTTTTTGCTCAAGACCTCCTCTAGGTGCACCTTCTCTCCATTCACTAGAAAACACAATGACACTTTCAGCCTCCAGGCCCCCCCATCCCCATCTCCATTGCAACTTCATGTAAGGGGAAAGTCACACAGATGGTGTAGTACAGCCCCAGGAGACGTGAGGTATCTTCTTGCCTCCCTTGCAACCATCTCCCACAAGGACCAGTCCCTCCCACATGCCCACATTCCTTGTAAGTGCTAAAGGAGTGAAGACCCTGAAGAATGTACAAGGTTTACACTGAGGAGAGAGATGATGTACACACACCATGTCAGGTGGACATAAAGGCTCCTAAGAAACAAATCAGGCAGGGGAGTGAGAATGACCAAGAGAGGGCAGAATTCTATTCTTAGATGAGACCATCTAGATAGGCCTGTCAGGGTGAAGTTTGAGCTGAGAGCTGAAAGATGGCATGAGACAATGAGAGGCAATACAGATTGTGTGGGTTAAGAGCATTGTAGGCAAGGGAACAGCCTGTGCAAAGGCCTTGAGGTGTGTACAGGAACATCCGCAGTGTTCATGGGTCCCTCTTTGGCCCCACTTACAGGAGTCTAATTCCCTATGCAGGGCCTCCTGGAGAGTGCGGGTGTCTCTCAGTTCCTCACTGGATTTCTTTTTTGCTAGATCAAAGAAGGGAAGAAAACACTGTGTGATTGTGGTCTGTAGCCCTGCTGTTCACTTGCAGATATGACATTGCATATTCATCTGCAAACCGCCCTAGAGGGGCCTAGGTTTTATAGATGAGGAGGTTGATTAATTACAAATCCAGGCCCTTCCTGCTGGCCCCTGCTGGCCAGTCTAGGTCCCCAAGTTTTTACCTTGCTGAAGCTCATTAATCCGGTTAATCATGTCCTCTATCTGTGGCTCCAGGCTTCCCTCTGAAGAAAGAAAAGAAGAAATATTGACCCAAAGAAGACTGTGTCTGACTGTCCAAGGCAGATGGAGAAGCACTGTGTCTGCTCCTATCAATTAATAGGCATATACTGAGCGCCTGCTGTGTGTTGAGCTCCGTTAGAGCCCCTTGAAGGGCTTACATTCTGGGTTGGAGAGATGGACATTGAGCAAACAAATAAATGAATTCAGATGGGAGTAACAGCTGTGAGGAGACATAAAGCGAGGCAAAGTGTTGAGGAGCAAAAGGGTAAAAGGCATGTCTCGAGATATGGAAAGAGGAGAGGGAAGCAGGCCCTGCAGCATGTGGGGGTAAAGAGTGTGGAGGGGGGACCCATTCCAGGTAGAGTACAACAAGGCAGAAGGAACAAGTGCAAATTCCTTGCAGCAGGAGCCACTGAGGCACATGTCCAAAGTAACAGTGATGGGCTGGTGTGGCTCAAGTCTAGTGAGCAAGTAGAGAGGAGCAGAAGGTGAGGTGGGGTAAGTGGGAAGTGATACCACTCAGGGCATCTTGGGCCATCGTGGAAGCCTTCAGATGTAACTCTGAGTGTGGCGTGAGCCTAGTGAGACGTCCCATCTGCCCCGCTCTGTCAAAAGCCAGGTGGGAAGGGTTGTCACTCTGTCAGTCTGGACTCTGGTACTGGCCTCATCTGAGAAATGAGGAAACAATGCTTTTACACTGATGGTGGCGGCTTGCAAGTTTCCCAGTGACAGGATGATCACTGTCCTTTTAGGGAGTCACCTCTGACTTCTCATAATCCCTGCCTCAATGCTCTGTATGGAGAATTCCTTCTCATTCCTCTCTGGCTTCAAGGTTGGCAACACAGAACTGGGGCAAAAAGCTGCCCAGCCCTTGCCAGTATCACTGCTGAAGCCTCAGACACACTGAGGTTAATAAACTCAGGCCGTGGGTTTTCCAAGGTCACCAACTCCAGCTTCTGTGATTTCCAGGAGAGTGGGTGATCTCCACGGTTCTGATTATGACTGAAAGAAGTCTCTGGGTGGGGGGTCTTTGTTTTACTGGAAATGATCAGTTTGGGTCACTGTATTTCTAGCCCTGCAATTTCTCTCCCTGATTTTACCCTAGGCAGCAGTCCCATGCACTTCTACTGCAGGCAGCCACAGAATGGGAGAAGGGGAGGCTGCTGCTTTTTTTTGGAATAGACTGATGTTATGCTATTTTGAGAATGGGCTGAGGGTCTAACCTCAAACCTGGCCAGCACTTTCTCAGCTCTGATGTAGGTACTGGGTGCACACTGGCTTCCAGGTCTCCCACAAAAAGCAAAGCAAGGTGCAAAACCAACTGCATTGCCATTTGTATGTAAAAAGGGAGGACAAAAATATACGCCCATGAATGCATTTTTTAAAAATCTCTGGAAAGATACTTAAGAATTGAAAAACAATAGCTGCTTGCCTGTGAGTCAAGGAAATGGATGACGCGTATGTGAGGGGAGGGAAGTGGGGTGGGAGGGGGCAACTGGTTTTTCCATTCCTTTAAACTTCTTCAGTTTTGAACTGTGGGGTTGTATTCTTGGTTCAAAGAATTAAGAGGGAGAAAGTGCAATGGGGTAATTTCCCAAGGTTGCGAGTTGAGGGCGCTGAATTTGAACCACGTCTTTCCGACTTGAAACTCCAGGCTGAGGCACAAAAACAAAGAGACACATGACCTTTCTGCAGCTTTATCACCATTGCCAGCAAGTCTTCAGTCTTCAAAGACTTGGCTTGCCCTGTAGAAACGAAAACCAAAAATTACAGGACCCAATGAGAGTGAGAGGGGACAGAGAAGGGGTGTAGGAAGTCCCAGTGGGCTTTGCAGACACCCGTGGTCTGGGGCTAAGGATGGGATGAAGGACAGGTTTCTATCCAGAGCAGGGCCCCCATCTCTTGCCCTTGAGGTTTATGGTGTGTGCTAGATAAATCAGGACCCCTAAGAGTCAGCTTCTCCCAGAGAGGTTAAAAGACGCCATCACAAACATCCCCTTAATGACACTCAGGGGTGAGACTTTGCTGCTGCTTTGGTTTAAGATCCTTATGAAGTTCTAACCAGAGCAATAGGACAGGAATATTTCATATGAATTTCTTTGAAATAATTATGGACCATAATTTATAAATTCTTAATGAACTGATAGATCTAGGTAACAGTTATTAATGGCTGCTAACATCAAAGAAAGACAACTAGATATTATGAGCCTCTTTTTTTTTTTAATCTTGCAGCTCCAGCTCAAAGGATTTTTTTTGGAGATGGATTATCAGTCTGTCGCCCAGGCTGGAGTGCAGTGGCACGATCTCGGCTCACTGCAGCTTTTACCTCCCAGGTTCAAGTAATGCTCCTGCCTCAGACTCCCAAGTAGCTGGGATTATAGGTGTGCACCACCACGCCCAGCTAATTTTTGTATCTTGAGTAGAGACAGGGTTTCACCATGTTGGATCTCGTGATCCGCCCGCCTTAGTTGCCCAAAGTGCTGGGATTACAGGCGTGAACCACTGCATCTGGCCAGGATTTTTGTTTTTATTTTTAATATAGAGAGTTTATTTCAGCTAAATTTGAGGACTGCAGCTCAGGATGCACTTACAAGCTGCCTTGGGGAGTGATCCCTATGAGCCTCTAGAGGAAAGAACACAACACGGCCGATGAAGGATTTTTGCCCCAAAACCCCCGCAAAAAAACAAAAAACCCTGATGGAATCTCATCAGGTTTCCACATCTAAATACTAATTTGGAGGAAATACAAAGGGCTGGAAAACACATTAAATCACCCCACTGGGGATGTGCTCAGCATCATGTGGACTGTGAGAAACTCCACAGGAAAACCTGGTTTCTTCAACAAATAAGTTGTAAAGAAGAAAATGAGAGGGAAAATCCTATAGATTAAAAAAGACTTGAGGCATTTATCAATCAATTAAATGAGCAGACCTTATTTGAATCCTGATTCACCACACTTTTCACCATATATATTTCTATGTATATATGTATGTGTGTGTGTGTGTGTGTATATATATATATACACTTTATGTATATTTTAACATGAGTCTGTGTTACTTTTAACATTCAAACAAGAAAAATCACAGGAAAATATTAATATTCAAAAAAAATCCGAAAGTCTTGAAATCAATGGTAAAGGTCAAATCTCAGTGACCCACTCATCTCCAAGGAAAACTGAACAGAGAAGATGAAAGGCAGCTCACAAAACACGATAGCCAAAAAGTTAATGAAGAAATGCTTACCCACAGTAGTATACAGTAAAAATCCCCTTTCCCTACATTATAAGCTATGTGTAGCTACCTGGAGATGATTCAATTTATATACAAACATACATCCCACATTTTCTTTGTAAGTGGTAGCATGTCGTACATAATGCATCCCATCTTGTAATTTTCACTTGACAATGTGTACTGGTGATCTTTTTAGGGGCTGCATGGCATTCTGCTGTGTGGATATACCATAATTTCAGAGCAAAATCCTATTGATGGATATTTAAGCTGTTTACCTTACTTTGCTGTTACAAAGAATGCCACAATGATCATTTGTGTTCTCAGGCTGCCATAATAAAGTACCACAAACTGGGTCTTCCCTGTGTCTGTGTCTTCACATGCCACTCTCATGTGTCCATACTTCCCTCTACTTACAAGGACACCAGCCATTGAATTATGGCCCTCCCTAATCCAGTATGACCTGATCTTAACTAATTACATCTGCAAACACTCTTCTCCCAAATAAGGTCACATTTCTGAAGTTTTGGTGAACACGAATTTTGGAGGGACACAATTCAACCTAGTACACCATCCTTGTACATTCTTCTTTGTGTTTGCATTAGAGTGTATCTACTGTATACTCATAGAGTACTACCTAGAGGCTACCTGGTGGATCAAAGGGTATGTATATCATTAAATTTGGCTGATAGGAAATTGCCTTTCACCTGTCTCAGGCCCACAAATCATACTCTTACCAGGCAAGTATGTTTTTAATCTTCTTTTTTTTTTGTGCCAACTCGGCCAGCTAAAACAGTATTTCATTTCAAACTTTCTGATAAATAAATACCAAAACCTTACTCACCTCCTCTTGATTAGAAATTCCACTCCTAGGAATGTATCTTAAGGAAATAATTAAGGATGGTGGGTAAGATGTTCATTGTTTCACTGCTTATAATTTTAAAATATGGAAGTAACTTGAAGATACCTTAGGAGATCAATTACAGCGTGTTTGTAGGATGAAATTCTTTGCAGCCATTAAAATTCATGTTGTAAACCAGGGTTTTTTTAATTTGCTTGTGAGACGGGGTCTCGCTTTGTTGCCCAGGCTGGATGGAGTGCAGTGGTGCAATCTTGGCTCATTGCAGCCTCTGCCTCCTAGGTTCAAGCGATTCTTCTGTCTCAGCCTCCCTAGTAGCTGGAACTACAGGCACCCGCCACCATGCCTGGGTATTTAGTATTTTTAGTAGAGACGGGGTTCTAACATATTGGCCAGGCTGGTCTCAAATTCCCGACTTTGTGATCCACCTGCCTCTGCCTCCCAGAGTGCTGGGATTACAGGCATGGGCCACTGCACCCAGCTGTAAATCAGGGTTTTTAAACCTGGGCTTATTAAAAATTTTTTGAAATATTTGGTGGTATGCTCACCTTTGTATCTTTTTGTTTGGTCTGAAATTTTTATAAATTAGTATGTATTATTTTAATTGGCATTTTAATTTTAAAATTACCTAATAAATACATGTAGAATAACTTACATAATAAACAAATGTAGAAGAATCAAACTAAACAGTAGAAGTCTCCCCTCACCAGCAGCCCCTTCTCCAAGTCACTCCCCTTCCCAGAAGTAACTATGGCCGGCAGTTTGTTGACAACACTTGTCTTTTAGTAAAATACATTTCATGTATTGCTTTAATTTTTACTTACTCAAGTAAAATTCTAAGAAAATTCAAACAACAAAGAAATATGTGAAGTTAAAAAAAAGGACTTTTTTCTTCTCTCCTTAATCTGAAATCTGACTGCTTCCCCTGATACAATCACCTTGAACAAGTTGGTATGTCCCCACCTGAGATTTTTTTTAATTTTAAAATATTCTTAATATTTTGGAAATGAAACCAAAAAGTAAAACTACTTTAACAGCAACAAGGGGAAGTGTTTTATTTTTAGTACTTTGAGAACTTTCAAATGCACATGAGAGTAGAGAGGATATTATGATTAACTCTGATACCCTCATTGCCCAGATTTGACAATCAATGATATTCACCTTATTTGTTTCAGCTGTTTTTCCTGCATTGAATTATTTTTAAGCAAGCCCCAGGCTTCTTGACATTTTATTCCCAGATACTTCCTTAGGAGTCTTAACTACTTAGGGACATTTTCTTAGGTGACCCCAATCCTATAATCACAACTGACAAGATTAATACTCATCACATATTATCACCCAATACCCAGGCTATGTATTAATTTCCTGATTGTCTCCATGTCTTTTATACAGCTGGCATTTGCAACGATTGCTGCAGAAGTTCCATCCGTGTTTTACCTCTCCTCTGCTTTCTAGTGCTTGTCATGAAATAAGGACAAGAGTGGGTAATAAGTAAATATTTTAAATAATTCAACTAACATTTTCACACACACACACACACACACACACACACACACACACACACACACACAAGTCCATTACAAAAGAAAATGGCCAGGACAGTAAGAGCAGCCTTTTAAACATTTTATTTTGAAATAATTTCAGATATACACAAAAGTTGTAAAAATAGGCCACAGTGCTCCAATTTTGCCCTTATATCACATTCCCCATTTGTGAGTGATTCTGAATTTTAAGTTGCAGACATCTTGGCCCATTACTGCTTGCTATTCCAGTGTCTGTTTCCTACACACAAAGGGAATATACCAGGTAACCACAGTACAACCACCAAAACATGGATGTGAATACTGATCCAATATTAATACAGGATCCTCAGTTGCCATTCAGAATTTTCCCTCTTCTCCTTTATATTTTAAAATTATATACCACTACTTACATTTTTCTAAAAGAAAAATAGAACACAAAATCACAAAAATGCCTCTACCTCTGCACTACTCCTCAAATCCAAGTCCCTTGTTCAGAGTTATCACTTAGGCTTTTACCCTTCAGATACTTTTTCTGTGCAACATATACAGGGCTATACCCTCCTCCATTGTTTCTATCCCAACTGGCTTGTCCTAATAAACATATTATTTCTTTTGGAGCTTCCTGTGTGTCCATAATATATCAACTTAAAATTTAATTTTAATAAATTTAAATTATAATTTATTTTTTTCTGCCTCTTACAAATAATCCACCACAGACACATTCCACAGCGTGCACACATATACCTAGATTTAGTCATTTCTGTGACTCTTCCTTGTGTTGTGCCTCCATCAACAACCCAATCGCCATTCCTGGTCCATACACTTACATATTCTCCTATGACTACATAGCAAGGTGACTGCGGAAGTGGAAGAGCATTTTAGATGCTAAAAATACTCTGCCAAACTGCCTCTAGCAAAGCCTTTGAGTCAGCTCTCTTCCCTGAAGCAGGAAAAGACCTGTTTCTCTACAAAGTTGTCAATACCAGGTACTCTTCTTTCCTTTAGAAAGCTAATTTGATGCGCTGGAAATGGCAACTTGATGATACATCTTTTAATTTTTTCCTTTGCTGGTGAAGTTAATCATAACTTTAATTTTGAGGAATTTGAAGCTGATACTAAAATAGTTTTTTTTTTAAATTGTAGTGGCAGCTGTATTACACCGTTAATAAATGAGATCTATTTGCATCTATTTCCGTCTGTCCTTTGATGAATGCTGGCACTCAGTATGTGGCTCTAATCTAAAAGAGCCCTCTGTGTTGGAGTTACTTCATTAGTCACACATTAAAAAATTATTGAGCACCCACTATACACCAAGCAGACACTGTTTTGGACACGAGAGATAAACAGTCTCTTTTCTCATGGAGCTTACATCCTAGGTCAGGCAATAAACAAGATTGATGTTGAGTGGGCAGGTCTGGCAGGATGCAGTCTAATGTGTTTATTAATATAGTGGTTTAAAGAGGGTGCAGAAAGGGGAGTTCGAGACAGATAAAAGTGGGGCAAAAAGGTGACAACGGTTATAGTATAGTGATGGGTACTTTGGTACACTTTGAATGTTTCTAACACCACCACAAAATACTAGTGGCATACGAGTGCATTACTGCCTTGGGAGACTTTCGTTTGTTTTCTTGTTTTGCTCACTCCATCACCCACAGTGGAGTGCAGGAGCACAATCTCAGCTCACTGCAACCTTCACCTCCCAGGTTCAGGCAATTATCCTGCCTCAGCCTCCCAAGTAGCTTGAGACTACAGGCACCTGCCACCACACCCAGCTAGTTTTTATATTTTTCGTAGAGATGGGGTTTCGCCATGCAGGCCAGGGTGGTCTCAAACTCCTGACCTCAGGTGTGACCCCCCCGCGCCTCCACCTCCCAAAGTGTTGGGATTACAGACGTGAGTCACCAAGCCCGGCCACGAGACATTTTTTTTTCTTTTGGCCGGAACACAATTTCCAATAGTGTCTAGGCCGACACTTCTCCACCCTCCTTTGCCTGTCATTCAAGTCAATACCCTGGAGAAAAGAGGCTGTGGGGAGGCCGTGTTCCGTTAAGAGGTTTAAAAGTTCAGCAAAGTGTGATATGGGATAGGCGTGAAACGGCGACACTGGGAATTACTGTTAATAAGGGTGGCTGCAGCAGGGTGATTTTTATGAGAACATCCGCTCCACTTTTGTTTTTAGGCTGGCACACTGACCTATGTATTATTTAAACAATATATTCACTAGAGTTGACAAATGTTAATCTCGGCGATAATATGCCTGTTAATTTATCTCCACTCTGCTGAACGGTTAACACATTTTTTTTCTTCAATAACAAAACGCTTAACATTAAAAAAAAAAAAAACTATTAGATTATCATCATTTCATTCTTGTAATGGGATGAACCCTCCCTCCTTTCTGCCCTGGTCGGAGAGAAAGGAGTGCAACCCACTTGCCCTCACTACCTTCAGCCTCCTCCGCGGCTTCTGGCGCTTCCACGTTCAGAGGTTTCGGCTTCCCAGCCATTCTCTAACGAAGGGCCCGAGCGCGAGGCTTGCTTGATGATTGGTTAAAAAAGAAACCACGTGAGGACGACGGGCTTTCCAGCGCGCTGGTGGGCAGGTTGCGCATGCGCTATCGGTTGACTCAGGAGTCGGCTCTGGGCAGGCGCGCAACGCAGTGTCCGGGATCGACCGCACGTGTGCCGCAACCTTGAGGCTGTTAACTCCAACTTTGACAAAAAAGGGCAGAACTAGGGTAGTGGCCAGCGGGGAGTGAGGGTAGTGTGCGCACATACAAAACCCTGGGGAGGTCTCTCCCACTTTAGGCTGCTTCTCTTGTGCAGGCTGTCAAGGTCTGGACAGACGTGCTGTGTGGCGGTACACAGAGTTCCACTCTGTTTTCATTTACAAATCTTCATTAAAGAGTTCATGAGAGAGGGTACTTATCTGTTTCACAGACGAGTAAAATGAGACTTAGAAGCTATGTGCATCTCCTACGTAAAAATGCTGGATTCAGCCAGTGTGCAGTCAGGGTTCCACAGGTGGACACTGGAGGCCACCTTCTCATTAATGTTAGCAGCAGCCAGCATGGAGGGGGGTAATTTTTGGTAGGGTGAAGATGAAAAGAAGTATAAGAAGGGCAAAGGAATATCCCTGTGGGTCTTACTTTTAGACATTTTATATACAGCTTTTTCTTTAAAATACCCCTAGGCCAGTTCCAAGCACAGTCTGGCCCTGAATTTCCAATTCCAGCACCCCTGTGGGCCACCCTAGAGACCTTCACCAGCCCTGGACACTCAGGGCTGAGATTCAACTGAGATTGACCCCTGAAGCAAGTTTGCAGGGGACAGTCCGTGACAGAGGCCACAGCATCATCCAAGTGGAGGAGGTGAGACAGAGGGAAGGGAGAGGGAGGCCTAAGGATTTTCCCAGATGGGGAGGTGCGTGACTGGGTGTAGAAAGCAGCCTGCTTGCCTGGCTACTGCCACCATCTCTCTCACTGGCAGGCCCTCAGATCTTGCCCCATTGCCTAGGGAGACAATGACTGGCCACAGACACACCCCCACCCACATTTCCAGGATGGAGACAGAAGGTAAAAAACAGGTGGTTGCTCCCAGCATTGCCTGGTCTGGGAGCTCCATCTCTCAGAGTCCAGTGAACAAGCCATTATGGGCAGCTTGGTCTGTAGAGGCGGCTGGTGGTGTGGAGTACTTGGGTGGGTAACGAATGAAGAGCCGGTCCTCCTCTTTCTTCACCCAGCGCAGGAGTTTGGTCACTACCAAGATTGCACCTGCCTTGGTGACCAGAGGACTGAGACAGGTATAGAGCTCAAATTTGGAGGTCACCTGGGGGTTTGGGAGGAGACACAGTCAGATGGGCCAGCAGTGGCCATAGAGAATCCCGTCTATCCCAACACAGCTGCACATCTGCCTCCTGCAGCCTGGAAGGTGTACCTGGCAGCACCTCCTGCTGCTAGATACTGGGCTAAGGTAGGAAAGCTGATATTGTTGTGAAATTCATGAGTCAAGGGTCAGCTGGACCTAGTGGCTTCAACTGGGTGATGCTGGTTGTGTGTGGGGGTATCCTCTAGACCTCAGTTTGCTCATCTGGGAACTGGGGAAAGCAGTAACGTTTAATATTCTGCCAGTAACCTATTGTGTACAAGGTCCTGCTCTAAGCTCATACAGCTATGTTTTCATCATCTACAGCCAGGGAATAATATAAAGAGGAACTCAATTTAAGCCACATACCAACTGGAGAGACCTGACCCCACAAGGTCTCTAGCACGTTTCCTGTGCCACCTCCCACAGCTCTCCCCTTTACTCCTTCTGTTCCAGCCACTCTGCTTTTCCTCGCTACTCCTCCAACAGCTGGGCTCAGTCCCACCTCACAGCATATGCAGTCCTTTCCCTCTGCCAGGTGTATTCTTCCTCTTAATATCCATATAGCTCAATACCGCCCCACTCCACTCAGATGCCATCTCCTCAGGGAGGCCTACCCTGATCACTTGGTTTAAAATTCTGGTCCTAACATATCGTGTTTGTCTGTTTGTTTTGAGACGGAGTCTCGCTCTGTTGCCCTGGCTGGAGTGCAGTGGCATGGTCATGGCTTACTGCAACCTCTGCCTGCTGGGTTCAAGTGATTCTCCTGCCTCAGCCTCCTGAGTAGCTGGGATTACAGGTGCCTGCCACCACACCCAGCTACTTTTTCGTAGAGACAGGGTTTCACCATGTTGGCCGTGCTAGTTTTGAACTCGTGACCTCATGATCTGCCTGCCTTGGCCTCCCAAAGTGTTGGAATTATAGGCGTGAGCCACTACGCCTGGTCCATATCTTGGTTTCTAAATTCCAATCTCTACTGAAACGTACAAGGGCTCCATGGAAAAGTAGCTGAGTTGAGGACCAGAACAGAGAAAGTCAAGTACGACGTACTCACATAGTGAAGGAGATGTGTCATAGAGACACAGGGACCAGCCTGGCTAAATCAGAGTACTCACTGGTTAAATCAGAGGAAATTTGAACACTAAAATAAATGCTAGAAAAGGATTTTACTTCACTGAATTAAAGAAAAATTTATGAGATAATATCGATAAAAATTAAAAATTCAACAAATAGAAGAAAGGAAAAGTTATGGCACCCGCCCCCCCTTTTTTTTGAGATAGTCTTACTCTGTTACCCAGGCTGGAGTGCAGTGGCGTGATCTTGGCTCACTGCAACTTCCGCCTCCCAGGTTCAAGCGATTATCCTGCTTCAGCCTCCTGAGTAGCTGGGATTAGAGGGACGCACCACCATGCCCAGCTAATTTTTGTATGTTTAGTAGAGATGGGATTTCACCATATTGACCAGGCTGGTCTGGAATTCCGGACCTCAAGTGCTCAGCCCACCTCGGCCTCCCAAAGTGCTGGGATTACAGCTGTGAGCCACCACACCCAGCCTCAAGTTATTCTTTATAGTAAAATCCCAACCAATAAATGTAGAAAGAATGATGGAGTTAGAAAAACCACCATCTGGCTAGGCAGCACTTGAGGAAGCCATGGCAGGTAGATCACTTGAGGCCAGGAGTTCGAGACCAGCCTGGCCAATATGGCAAAACCCCATCTCTACTACAAATCTCTAGCCTCAGCCTCCCAGTGTGCACCTGTAATCCCAGCTACTTGGGAGGCTGAGGTTAGAGAATCCCCTGAACCTGGGAGATGGAGGTTGCAGGGAGCCAAGATTGCGCCACTGCACTCCAGCTTGGGCTACACAGCAAGACACCATCTGGCAAAACAGTGGGTAAAAGTATGATGTAAAGCAGGACAATGACAATCACCACAGATATTCACTAATTACAAAACGGGAAAATATCAACTTTTTTTTTTTTTTTTTTTGAGATGCAGTTTCGCTCTTGTTACCCAGGCTGGAGTGCAATGGTGCGATCTCGGCTCACCGCAACCTCTGCCTCCTGGGTTCAGGCAATTCTCCTGCCTCAGCCTCCTGAGTAGCTGGGATTACAGACACGTGCCACCATGCCCAGCTAATGTTTTGTATTTTTAGTAGAGACGGGGTTTCACCATGTTGACCAGGATGGTCTCGATCTCTTGACCTCGTGCTCCACCCACCTCGGCCTCCCAAAGTGTTGGGATTACAGGCGTGAGCCACTGCGCCCAGCCCAATACCAACTTTATAATGGAGAAATGTGGTAGACACAACTTTAAGTAATCAAAGTTGACATCATCAACAATGGAACAGATGACAATCATGTGCCTCCTGATATGATGCAGGGAAGGGCACAACGCTGCTCCTGTGGTATGCTTGCACAAAATGCATGAACTCAGTTTACTCATGATAGGACATTAGAAAAAACTACATTGAGGAACTTTCTGCAAGCTAACTGGCTCTGGCCCTCCATAAAAGTGCCAAGGTCATGAGAGACAGAAAAGAGTGAGAAACTGTTCCAGAATAAACAAGACTAGGAGACCCAATAAATAAATCCAACGGGATCCTGGACTGGATTCTGGACCAGTAAAAGGACATGAGTGGGACAACTGGTGGCATCTGAATGAAGTCTGTGGATTAGATATTACTGCACCAATGTTAATTTCCTAAATTTGATAAGCTACTCTGGTTATATAAGATGTTGACCTTTGGAGGAACTAGGTCACGGGCCTCTTTCTAGTAACTATACTGTTTTTGCAACTTCTAAATCTAAAATTATTTGAAAATGAATGCTAAAAAATTTTAAAAATAAAATCCTTAGCCTATGACAATGCCTAATACACAGGAGTCATGCAATAAGTTAACAAATATGCACTACATGGGAGGGCCTAGGGGAAGGTGCCATTTCTTATGAGGTTCCCTTCACTAGCCTCCCTCAGTAGCTGACCTTTAACAAACCCATAGGAAGTGAGGGCTGAAGCCCAGAGGAGATCCAAGGGAAGGATCTTCCAGGTAGAGGGCACAGCATGGGACCAAGCCTGTAGTGTGTGAGGAGTGCTGGAGACCCACTGAGTCATAATGAGCTGGTGACGAATAGGGTATCTCCAGACACATGGATTGGGCTACTGGGGAATTGGCAGGAGCAGCAATGGATGTTAAAGGGACCTCTGGAAAGTCAAAGACACTGTCCTGGTTGCTAATGGCAGAAAAGCACATAGGAGGGTGAGGCTAATGTCAGTTTAGAGGCACGGTGATTAGCTGTCAGGGGCCTCAGAGATGCGTGTGTAAAGGCAGGGACAGTGTTGCAGGCAAGACACAGCCCAGGTAGAGGCCTGGTGTGTTTGGTGGACGCGCTATGGCTGGAAGGGATACAGTATAGGGAAGGGAGGCTTGAAGTGGGGAATCAATTCACTCAGAGTCCTGCCCAACTCACCCAGGCCAGCAGCGTCTCCTTCTCAGCCACATGGTAAATAAGGCGCAGGGGTCGGGAGGTGCTGTGAAGGCGAGCATGCAAGCGGTGGTACAGGTCCGACAGCCGCTGCCGCTCCTCCTCTCTGCTGTAGGGGGCCTCTAGCTCGGGGCTGCCATGATGGAGAGAGGTGGAGGGCAAGGTTACTCCAGCGCATTCTTGGCTGGCCCATTTCTTCCCTCAATCTAGAGATCTCAATCAAGTTAGGGAGCTGAGCCTCTCCCTTGAGAATTGTGGATTCTCACGGGTTACAGGCTGAGCTTCTTTCATCAAACTAGGGTATTATAGGGCCCTGCCCTCCACCAGAATAGGGGGATTCCTTTAGCTCTGTGGTTGAGGCTTCATCATCCCTGAGACGCTGAACTTCCTGGTTAGACAGGCCTTCCCACCCAGCCAGTTGCCTTAGGGTCAGGGCTTACCTGGTAAACTGGGGCAGTTGACGGTGGTGGTCAGGGATGTCCAGCGGCTTATACAGGAAGTGACGGAGGCCCGGCGCCCCCACAGCCTGCACGCTGTAGGCAGGAGCACTGGCTGATGAGGCGTTAGAGAAGCTGGCAGCCTCCCCAAGGGCACGCATGGCACCAAGGGCATGCATCCCGTCTTCAACCAGGCGCCGGCAGGCAGCCATGGCATGGAAGGCTTCGCGCTGGGTGCCAAGCAGCAGCAGGCAGACAGGCATAGCATCCAGACGGGCCACGTAGGCGTAGAAAAAACCATCAGGGTTGAAGCGGGGCAGGCACACTGGTGCCCAAGCCTCACCTGCCGCAAAGGCTGGTGCACCCACCCAGTCGAGCAGCAGCTGCAGGTCCGCTGGGTCCAGCCGGCACTCAGCCAGCACATTCCGCTCCTGGGCTGCTGTTATCAGTCGGCCGCCTACTGCCAGCACTGATAGCGCCAGGCCAGGTGCTGTGCAACGTCGGAGGAGCGCACCCAGTGCGTCCCGCAGGGGGCGGGCAAGGGGCACACAGCGCACAGCGCCCAGGAGCAGAGCACCTGGGTCCTGCTCTACACTATCCAGAAGTCGGTCCAGTGTGCGCTCTGAGCCAGCCAGCAGGCGGCGGAGGTCATAGTTCTGCTTGTGTGCGAAGATGCGGGCGACACTTGCACGTGTCAGTGTGCTCACGATCTGTGCGTGCACAGCTAGCAGCTCCCCCCGCAGTTGGGCGGCTGACTGAGAAGTCCGTGACATGGCCACGAGCAACAGTGGGCCCTGCTGTAGGAACACCAGCTTGTGGTCCTCTGGGGAAGGAAGGGGTGAGAAGGGGGGTAGAGCTGGATCAGGAATGACCAGAGGGAGACAGTGGGGGCTCTTCTGCCCTCTCCTACCATACACACAGCGGGCCTGAGTCCACACGAGCACTCTGTGGGCACCTGGACTGGGGTAAAGACAAGCTGGAGGAATCTGGACATTTGCAGAGACATGATGGGATGGACAAAGGAACAGATAGGTTAGATACATAGCACAGAGCAGGGGAAGGCGGGCAGAGATAGTGCAAGGCTGACACAGAGCCAGAAAGATACTCAGCTTAGCCACAGAGTCCCCACAGTCATGCTCTCAGGCAATACAGAAGTATCCAGCTAGTCACTTAGATCCCAGCAAGTTAATCATTCAGAAACCAGCAGGCCAGAGAGATGAACCTCCCACCTCCCTCGACTGACACACAGAGCCCTGGCTGACCATCCACACACATGGACCCAACCCTGGCTGGCTGGATAGTGCCTCAGGGAGACAGACCTACCCATGCCAGCCATATTTCTGGTCACCGTCCCCCATTCTGCCTCCCACTTGTTTGCTCACCAGCGTAGATGGCACGGATGGCATCTCCTGCACTCTGCACGAAGGACACGAGGGCAGTCATTACACCCATGGTAGCCGACAGTGCCTCCACACTACCGTACCGAGAATAGATGGGCTTGCCAGCCTCACTCAGCACAAACACATGCTTCCGCTGGCTGCGCCAGTCCTCATCACTGGGGTCCCCACCCTGGCCTCCAGAGCCATTCTCAGGGCTACGCGTGGGACTATTCTCAGGGGCTGCAGGACTCCAGAGCTGAGAGGTGCTTGATGGGGCCTCTGACTGGGGTGGTGGTGATGGGCTGGGTGGCTGGTCCTTGTCCTTGGATCCTGAAAGGGAGCCCTTGGTGGGTCATCTGCATGTGAACCCCTAACTAACCCCACATCCCCAAGGACCCACCAAATATCTACTAGTCCTTACACGACCCCTATATGCTGACACAGACCTCTAAGTGTTTCCTCTGCCCCTCAATGACCAGTGACAGCCCTAGGACCCCGAAATGATATCCGCCAACACTTAGGTTCCATGATCTCCCTGAAAAACTAAAAAACGAATACATTTTCATTGTTATTCCATTGGACCTGCTATGTCCCTACAGACCAATTACTTCCCTTTCAATAACTGTCATTCTCAAGCCTTAAAGGCACCCCATTGACTCTGGATGACCATTATTCATCTTCAATGATCCCCCATTAACTCCTCTGACCCCTATTTATTCTACTGATAATCTGCTCACCCAATGGCCACCATTAACATCTATTAATATCTTAAGTGTTTGAATGCCCCTACCCCTGCTACTGATACCTGATGACCCCTACTGACTCTCCTGGTCGTCCATTTATATTCTTGTTAATGTCCACTACTTCTCCCAATGACTGTCATTAATATGCATTAACACCCAGATCTTTAGGACTCCCCCAATCCACTATTCAATCCCTCTGTAGTTCATAAACACCCAATGACCCGACAGTAAAAATCATTAACACCTGGATTTTCAGTGACCCTTCATGACTGACCTGATCCACAATTTATTCTACTCCATGTCCACTGCCCCCTACCCCCAACTATGACCATCATTAACCTCCATTAACACCCAGGACTTCAGTCACCTTCACTGACTCCCCTTACCACCTTCAATTTCATTGATATCCACCCCCCTCCCTACAATAACCATCATAATATCCACTAACACACAAGACTTTAATGCCTTTCACTGCCCCTCCCCATGACCATCATTAATATTCACTAAAATCCACAACTTCAATGGCCCGGACTGACACGTCCATTTGTTCCCATTGATATCCACTCATCCCCCATTGACAGCCATTATTATCTATTTGCAACTAATTTTCCCATAAAATCCCAATAATTGCATATTCTCTCATTGACATTCACTGACACTCCCATGTCCCCAAATATCACTTAATAACTGCTCTTGCCTGCTAATAATTTCCAAGTCCTCAACCTCCCCACCCACATTTATTCTCAGTGACGTCTACTGATCCTTCCCAATGACTCCATTTACATCCACTCATTCCTAAGTGATCAATGGTACAGACTTCTCAGTGACTTCCATTAAATCCCAGATGAACATCTTTACACATCCACTAACATTTCGTTCCTTAAAGACTTCCCCAACAGCTTACCATTGACTTCAATGATGTAAATACTCTGAATGCCCATGGAACTCCACTGATTCCCCCTCCCACTTCAAGGACCTAATAAATGACACCCTACTCCTCAAAAACATTAACTTCTAACAGTCCTCCTTGGAGTCTATTGACTTTCTTCAGCGTTTCTTTGACCTAAATACTCTACATCCCCAGAGACGTTCTTTGGCCCCAACAGCCCCCTTTTTGATTTCTCAATGGCCTAAACTCACACCAAATCCCCAGTAAACATCCTTTGACACCCAATGACTTCCTTAGTGATTTAAACTACACCATATGTCCACAGTGACCTCCTCCTGACCCGGCTATGGTTTAAGCCACTTCTCTTGAGTTTCAAAAGACTACTGGTCACCTACTGACCTTCCCCTCGTCCAACAATGACAACCCCTAGGGATTCCTTTTAAGACCCCAGTAAGTAGAGTAATACCTGTTTCCTCCAGGCCCTCCTCTTTGAGATCCAGTGGGACAGCGTGAGCTCCTTCACCTTCCCTAGTTTCCTCACGGGGGAACTGCGTGTCCTCCAAGTCCTCCGTGCCCCCGGGGGCCGGGGCAGCAGTGTCTCCTCCGGCCTCCATCTGCACATCCCTGAGGGGGAGGGGAATCGAGGGTAACGGGCAGTGAAAGAAACTTCTGAAAATCCTTTACAGAGTCAGGCCCCTTGGACACACTCCTACTGCTCGTTTCCCCAAGGATTCTAATAGGATGAGACATTCAGAAACACGCCCAAATACTTGCCCCCTCCAATACTTCCCGAAAAGAGAAGACTCTACTGGGCTTCAGGAAATAAAGATATACAAACACCTGTTCTAACCCCGAATCTCAACTGGCCGGATACCATTACTTCCCCGTAGCGGCTGTAGCATCACACTTCCGGGTGCGTCCAGGGAGGTGCCACACTTCCGCGTGCGACGCCTCCAAGAAGACACTTCCGGTTGAGGAGCTTTATTGGCTCCCCGTGGCGTCCCTCTCCCGCCGCCTACGGGTGTCCCCTCACAGTTGAGGTGGCGCGGGCCACTTCCGGATCTACGTCAGGTCGGCTTGGGAGCTTAATGAGACGTCTTTGCACTCCTTTCAAAGGATCAGGCTACGGCTGCTAACCGAAGCTAGCAAGGCCCACTTCGCTTACCAGTGGTGTTGGCGTGATGGGGGCGCGACTCGCTCTAGCCAATCCCGTGGTACAGAGGGCGAGACCGCCTTCTTTCTGGGCCAATTCAAAGAAGCTGCCCCATCTACCGGCTGTCTCCTCCCCCTGCCAAACCTCAACCAATACTGTGCATTGTACTGCGTTTGTACCCGCCCATGCCTTGATTGACGTCTCCCTCGACCCAATCCAAGGCTCGAGCATATTCCTAGTTTCACAAGAGGACTTCGGCAGCCCAAGTTCGGATGGATACCTGTTCCGAAATCACAAACGGGCTCTCCCAGAACTGAGGCAACTCCACCCTCTCTTATCCCTTAACCTGGCCAAGAAAGTCAAAGGAGGGGAGAAGCGCAAATGCTTGCCAGGCAGTCGCCACTTCCAATCGGCGAGCTGCGCAAAGTCTGGTCAGCGTATAAGACTCGGATCCTAAAGTAAGAGGCAGGTCTCGCAGGAGGAAGTATTAGTTGGTCTCCGTGCTCACCCAAAAGACTCCGCGGCCTTTGGAAAAAGAGAAGCGCGAGCCACGGACAACCTCGTGGCGCCTGGTTAGGGGGTTGCAAAGGCAAAGCTCAGGCCGATGAGGATTTGTCCAGACCCGCAAAAAGCCCTGCTGACATCACTTGCGTGGGCAGCGTCTGCGGGCGGAACTGTGCAGAGGAAAGCCCAGGCCCACTGCGGGTGCCCGTGTGGCCGCGGCTGAGACGCCGCTGAGTTCTGATTGGCGGACGATAAGGCCGCGCCGATCTCTGCGCGCCGTCATTGGTCAGCGCGACGGCCCCCGCAGCTGGCGCCCGCACCCTGGAAGGTCTACACTACCCTGGAAAGTAGAGCGTGGCGTCTGGATCGGATCTTCTTACTCGGGTGGCGCCAGCAGCTGCAGCCTGCAAGCTGCGAGGGGTTTAGGCGGCCAGAGGCAGGAAGGCGGTCCTAGCTGACAATTTTAGCCTGAGGGCGAACAGGGGCATAGAGGCGCCTGGTCTAGACTGCCCGTCTCCTTTGCTCTGGGGGCCTCAGACTCTGCCTCTTCCAGCGACTCTCCGAGCCTGTCCCGGGGTGTCTGCCTGCGCCCCTGTCTCTTCTGTATTTGTGTCTCTGAATGGGTAAATGAACACCTTCACACATCCACCTGCTCTCTCCTTATCTCCCTACCTCCGCCTCTTTCTCTAGGTCTTGGTCTCTGCGTCGTTCTTTAGCTTTCTCTCCGGCGTTTCACTGACTTCCCACCCTCTCTTCCTGGGCAAAACAACGGCGGCCCTGGGGGCCCTCGAGGGCCTGTCGGATCCCGCAGCTCAGTCCCCTGCCGGCTTCCCACCTCTGTCTGCAGCCGGGGAAGAACTCCGCCAACCCAGGGAAGGGGCGGGCACTCACCTGGACTAGGACCCGCCCAACGCCCCCGGTCCGCCGGGCGAACGAGTCGTCACTTCCTGTGATTAGTTTGGGAAAAGGCCGGGGGGGCCCTCCCACGGGCGACTGTGGGAACCCAGGGTTCGAATTCCCGCCCCGACGCTGCTTCCTTATAAAAGGCCCCTGAGCGCCTTACCCCAAGGGCCCTGGGTCTTGGTTTCCCTACCAGTGAAACAATGATGGGAATCCCTTGACGTGAAGTGAGTGGGGGTGCTGGCACACTTGGAGTGATTGCTAAGTGGAAGCCTTTGGAAGTAGTTAGGATAATTATTTTAATTACAGTATAGTTAGGGTAATGAATTCCAAATACCAATGTAGCATATGCCTTATATACAATAGACAATAGATAAGTGATGAAATAAATATGAAATTTATATAAGAAACAAATTTGTGTGCATACAAAATGTATTTACCTAATATAGAAGTACATAATATGTAATAAACATGTAAAAAAGCACAATAAAATAACTTCTCATTAGTCTTGCTCTGTCACCCAGACTAGAGTGCAGTGGCAAGATCTTGGCTCACTGGAGCCTCTGCCTCCTGGGTTAAAGCAATTCTCCTGCCTCAGCCTCCCGAGTAGCTGGGATTACAGGCACCCGTCTAATCCCATGGATAATTTTTTGTATTTTTGGTACAGATGGATTTCACCATGTTGGCCAGGCTGGTCTCAAACTCCTCACCTCAAGTGATCCACTGCTTTGGCCTCCCAAAGTGCTGGAATTACAGGCGTGAGCCCCCATGCCAGGCCTAATAAGCAAATTTATATAAATTTATAGAATCAACAGTGTAATATGTAAAATCAAATAAAATAATTATGCAACAACATAGTACACAATATATGTAATGCCCTGTAAAATATATATAGTAAATTTAAAATATATACACTTTAAGCATTTTGTAATTTGTATAACTACAATGCACATGAGTATATAACAATAAAATAGTACTTATACATGACATAATTATTATGACAACAAACTTGTGTTAGGTTGATAAGGGGTGTATCCTCTGGAACCAGGTAAAATATCTTCTCCCATGCCCAGCAGTCGCAGGGTGTGTGACCTCGGGCAGGTCACTTACCCTCTCTGGGCTTGGCTTTCCTCACCTTTGTAGTAGGGCTGTTAACAGTGGTACCCATCTCCCTGGAATATTTTTAGGGGAAATAAATGATCCAATGTTGTGCCTAAAACAGCACCTGGCTCCTGGTAAAAACTTAGTAAAAATGTTAAGTCATTAAATATTAGATATTATGACTTTTAAAGATATGATAGTTATGTTACATTATACACTATAACAATGTGAAATTAATATTTCACACACTATCTTATACCTTATAGTCCACATGTTATAAATTATTGTATATTATATATATTATGTTGTCATATATAATGTATCCATTGAAATTATATTTCCAAAACCTTGATTGAGTACTGAAAATGTATAAGGCATAGTGCAGTGCCAAGTAAGCCAGATGGACCCTTAGGAAGTCAGACAGGCAACCCCTCAAACAGATGAACAGGCCTCCACCCTGACAGATGAAACTCAGGGAGACAGTAAAACTACCCACTAGCCAACCAGCAAGCTCCCCGGCCTCCACCAGCCTCCCCAGGCAGCCAGTCTCAGTTGAAGAGAGGTCTCAGTTTTAATGTCAAGAAAATGAAGGAGCCGGGCGCGGTGGCTCACGCCTGTAATCTCAGCAATTTGGGAGGCCAAGGCAGGCAGATCACCTGAGCTCAGGTGTTCGAGACCAGCCTGGTTGATATGGTGAAACCCCATCTCTACGTGGTGGCAAACACCTGTAGTCCCAGCTACTTAGGAGACTGAGGCAGGAGATTCGCTTGGACCTGGTAGGCAGAGTTGCAGTAAGCCGTGATCATACCACTGCACTGCAGCCTGGGCAACAAAGCGAGACTTCATCTTAAAAGAAAGAAAATAACAAAAGTGAAGGAGAAGATCCAAGTGACCAATATCAATTCAAATATCACGAATCATTGAGGAAACACGTTTCAGATGAGAGATAATTTAAACCAGTGACCAAACGCTTTCTAGTCTCTGTGATTTGATGAGTATTTATCTATGTTTTGTACGTTTAAAATTATATGTTTGTAGAGTCCATTGCATTTTTCATATGTGTAAACCAAGAAGCATCAGAGACAGGTCTCAATGTAGAAATTTATTTTGCAAAGCTTAAGGATGCGCATCTGGGAGGCAAGTCTATGCCTTTCTCCAAAGTTGATTTTGAGGGTTTCAGTATTTAAGGGGGAAAGGGTGTATATTGGGAAAAGTGGAAGAAATTTTACAGAGGTGTAGGAGATACAGGCCAAATGGTTTGCCTTCTTTTGAGTCTTTTGAGTCTTCAGTCAGCCTTTTGCCAAATACACAAATGACATGTGAGGGGGATGGATTAATTTGTTCTCACACTACTATAAAGAAATACCCGAGACTGGGTGGTTTATAAAGAAAAGAGGTTTAATTGGCTCACAGTTCTGCAGGCTGTACAGGAAGCATAGCAGCCTGTGCTTCTAGGGAGGCCTCAGAGAGCTTTTACTCATGGCCGAAGGCAAGGTGGGAAAAGGTGTCTTTTATGGCAGGAGTGGAACTCGGGGTGGTGGTGGTACTACACACTTTATTTTTTTTGGAGACAGAGTCTCACTCTGTACCCCAGGCTGTAGTACAGTGATGTGATCTCAGCTCACTGCAAGCTCCCCTTCCCGATTCAAGTGATTCTTCTGCCTCAGCCTCCCGGGTAGCTGGTACTACAGGTACCCACCACCACACCCAGCTAATTTTTGTATTTTTAGTAGAGATGGGGTTTTGCCATGTTGGCCAGGCTGGTTTCGAACTTCTGACCTCCAGTGATGCACTCACCTTGGCCTCCCATAGTGCTGGGATTACATCTGTGAGCCACGATGCCCAACCCCGTGCTGCACAATTTAGACAACCAGATCTCGCAATAACTCACTCACTCTCACCAAGAGGATGGTGCAAATTATTTATGAAAATTCACCCTCATGATCCAATCACCTTCCACCAGAACCTACCTTCAATATTGGGGATTACCATTTGACAAGAGATTTGGGTGGGGACACAGATACAAACCTTATCGGGGAGTAGAGGAATAGTCTCTATGCCTTCATCTAGATTTGTGAATCTGCATTTTTACCTCAGAGGAAGCAATCAGATATGCATTTGTTTCAGGTAAGCAGAGGGATGACTTAGAGATCTGTCCTTTGTCTTGCACCTATGAAGATGAACTATCCACTTACATTGTCAGGGTAAAACTCAACAGAACACTTTTAGGGTAAAGATCGTGGGGCCCGCAAGGAATTCCTAGACAGCAAATTGTGAGGGAGGTGCTTAGCTTTCTTATCTTTGTAGCTATCTCATTTAGGGATAAAATGGGAGACAGGTTTGCCTGATGCAGTTCCCAGCTTGACTTTTCCCTTTGGCTAAGTAATTTTGGGGTACTGAGATTTATTTTCCTTTTACACCTTCCTTGTATTTCAACAAAACCGTATCGCAGTTAGGCTCCTTTTAAAAATTCTTGCTGATGTGCTCTGTGAACTTTAATGATTGTTTTCCAGGAAAAATGGCAGAACTAAGAACTACTGTCACACAATCTCTTATCTGGAACCCTTAGTGCCAGATGTGTTTTAAATTCACACTTTTTTTCCTGATTTTAGAAATGAAATTAAGTGCATGTGCCATATATTATATAGACCTCAGCAAGGGTCTGGGAAACATCTGATAACTAAGCTTAATAGTTCTGAGTGAAACTTTTTATTATTCCCACTAAGAGAAACACTAAGCTCTCTTATGTTAGTTTAGTTCAGGTTTTACCTGCAAGTGAGTTTTTAAAAGTTATTTTTTTGGAGCTTTCCGGATTTTAAAACTGCAGATGTAAGATTATGAAGCTTTATTAGCATTTGATACTTGATAATTCGGCACTCCAAACAATTTCTACAATCAAAGATGAGACATGGGAACAGGTGAAGGAACATAGAACCACCTCTAGTGTGTCTGCCTTTTTTTTTTTTTTAATCAGGAAAGCGTAAACCAAAAAAAACCTCAGCAAACCTCCCCAGCAGATTTTAAGTTACAGCTCATGGCTTGAAATGCACAGTGTGTACAAATTGTAGACAAACACACACACACACTCACAGACACAGGTTTTTTTTTTTGTTGTTTTTTTTAACAAATCAAAGATGTCTTTGTGACGTATCTGTTTATACTTCCTGACTTTATGGACACTGTGTAAATCCCAGGTAATCCCAAGATACAGGTAAGTCTAAGCAGGGGACAGAATTGCCTGATCATCTTGGACATATCATAGTTCATCACCTAGGGCTCTTGACTTGGCCAGTGTCTTTTCACCATACCAGCCTACAAGAATCGCAAAAAGCATTTTTCTTTTATCTTGCAGAGCCAGGACTATACATTCACAATATTTCCTGTGGCCTATATTAGTTCACCTGCTATCTGCCATAATTTAGTCCTCAAAGATATTTATTACTTTTTTGAGTTTTGAATATTCATTACCTTTGTAGTTTTAATCGTTTATTTATCTATTTATTTGTTTGTTTGTTTTCTGAGATGGAGTCTCGCTCTGTCACCCAGGCTGGAGTGCAGTGGCACGATCTCGGCTCACTGCAACCTCTGCCTCCCAGGTTCAAGCAATACTCCTGCCTCAGCCTCCTGAGAAGCTGGGATTACAGGTGTGTGCTACCACGCCC